GGAGTCACAAAGCATTCTATCATATTCACTGTGTCCAGTACAGTACTGGAGTCACAAAGCATTCTATCATATTCACTGTGTCCAGTACTTCTCAGATGAATTGCGTCCTGAAATGCATTGTGTACGTTTGGAATTAATCACAGGGTGTCATTAAGTGGGAAGAAAGTGTACATTAAGTTTAGCAAATTCTTTTTCCTTTTGCTATGTTTGATTGTACAGTGGTAAAATATACAGGACTAACAGCTTCATTTTAAATTCCTTTATTCTGTGTAAACCAGGCACACACAAGTCCCTTACCCACAGCCTGACCATTACCAGGAACATGCATGCATTAACTTGTTGCCTAGCATTCAGGGAGGGGTGAGGTAGTGGTATTTATCTCCTCTGCTGCCTTCCTTGAATAGACTAAATTCCTCAGGGGCTGTTGTGACACAGTGGAGAAACCAAGTAGTGGCAGAACTTGAATTTCATGTCTGCAGCTTAGGGGCTGATAACATACCTTGTCTCTGGGAACTTAGATGCTTACCTAGTGCTCAGTAAATACCAGGTGAACTTGAATTAAACTAATTTGCAGACCATCCCACTGTGTGTTCAGGTCGGTGCTATCTACAAATAGACAGTTCTTACAATAGAAATGCTCTTTGATGCCTCTCCTGCTTTTTCCATAGTGGTTGTGCTTCAGGTATTCTGTGTTCATGCCTGCTTCAGCACCAGTCCTCAAAGCTAATGAAGAAATGGGGGACAGGGAAAGGTTTCCATGCCAGCTTTCTCAGCAGTGTCAAAGCCACCGGCAACCTTGCTGAAACAGAATTCTCGTAACTTTATATATTGAAAAAACTTACTGCTGTAACTTTAGAGTAACTCTAAGTTGTTGAGTGCATCTTTTTGGTGGGCTCTACAGAGCGAAGACTTTACAAGGAGCAGAGGTTATGTGTGCTGTGGTTCAATGTGTGGTGACATGCATCCCTAATACCAGCACCAAGTGTAAGTGGCCTAGAGTGGAGGGAGTTATAGTAGACTGCTTGGGGGAGAAGGGAGCTGCTTTCTTGCAGGTTGTGCTGAGGAGGCTGAGTCTGCACTGCCAGAAATCCCGCTCCTCTTCTTACCTTCAGAAGGTGTCTGTGCAGAGTGTCTATTTCCTTCCCCTCCCCCATTAAAAAAAAACTTTCTGAAAGTCACCAAGGTATAGAGATAGAATGTTGTGTTAAAGTCATGACCTTGGGTTAAAACACAAGTAGGCCACTGCATACCTGATATCCCAGCTACTTGGGAGGTGGTAACAAGAATCATCAGTTGGGTGGTGGTGTCAGCGCACGCCTTTAAACCCAGCAGTGGCAGGCAGATCTCTGTGAGTTTGAGGCCAGCCTGGTCTACAGCAAGTTTCAGGACAACACAGAGAAACCCTGTCTCAAAAAACAGCAAAACAACAGAAAAGACATGTAAACTCGCTAGGGAATAAACAGGCAAGACGGTCAGCTTGAAGTCTGACTGTATGAAAGGTGATGGGATGAATTGGGAATTCTGAGTCCTTGGATATTTGTATCATGGAAAGATTAGACTCTTTTTTTTTTTTTTAATTGAGTTCTGAGGGAAAAGGCCTGGGTTCTGACAACAGAAGATGTGTATGGGGAGATGTCATTAGGCTGTTCCTAAATGTTCTGACTGCCTGGGGAGGAAATGAGGCCCATAGTTCTTGGAGAACTAGACTCTGTCTCCAACTGCTGCTGATTTTCAAAGCACAGGAGGGTCAAGGCACCAGATGTGACTTGTTGGGAACTGGAACATGGTTGCATTAGAAGGCAGACAAGGGAATAGCATCCTAGCGGAGGAAAGCTGCATATGGGAAGATAAAGAACAAAGGAGAGGGAACATTTAAATGGTGCAGTGACTAAGAAGGACATGGGTTGAACATGACCAGGTAGTTTATAAAACTTTAGCACTCATTTTGTAGGGTGCCATTTGTTTTCTGCATATTTGTTGAGCAACTTTAAATCCTGTATGTCACCTAAATGTTTGCTTCCTTGCAACACTAACTCGAGTACAAGAAAACACTTACCTCTTTCATTCTTTCCAAAACACTTAAGCCTCTCCAAGTGTTTCAAAGGAGAGCTATCAGCTATGAAATTGTACTGACTTGTAATACCCTACATTTAGTTTTAAAAGTGAAGTGAGGATGTAGCTTAGTGGTAGAACATTTGCCTAGTATGTAGAAAGATCTGGGTTCCCTTCCTAGCGCTGAAGACAAGACAAAACAAAACACTAAGGTAAAATGAACTAGTCCCAGCTACTTAGGAGACAGGAGGATCACTTGACTCTAGAAGTTTGGAGAGCTTGCCTGGGCAACATAGTAATTTTGTCTCTGAAAAAATAACAAGCATGACTGGGGAGACGGCTCAGTGGGAAAAATTCTTGTTGTATAAGCACGAAAGCTCAGTTTGGGCTTTAGAACCCACATACAAATGGTTGTGGTGGTGTGTGCTTGTAACCCCAGCATCAGAGACAAGTAGATATGTATCAGGGGCTTGTTGGTCAGCCAGTCTAGCTGAATTAATGAGCTCCAGGTTCTATAATAGACCCTGCCTCAAAAATTAAGTGGGATATTGATGACTTGGCTCAGTGTCTAAGAACATATACTACAGAGGATCCGAGTTCAAATCCTAGCACCCACATCAGGTGATTCATAACCACCCATAACTCTAGTTCCAGGGAGATACAGCGTCTCTGGCCTTTGTGGGCACCTGATTCATGTATATATTTATAATTTTAAAAAAGATGGAGAGTGATTTAAAAAAATCTTTCCAGGAAGTGATAGTACATGCCATTAATCTCAGAACTTGAGAGGCAGAGGCGGGTGGATCTCTGTGAGGTCAAAACCAGCTTGGGCTATAGAACTAATTATAGGACAGCCAGGGTGCTTACACAGTGAAATCCTGTCTCAAAAAACCAAACCAAACCAAACCAAAGCAACATCTCAATGTTTATATCTAACCCCCACATACTCATGCATAGGTAAGTGTACCCACTCATGCACATATATATGTGTACATCACACAAACATATACGTTTCTAGAAAAGCGAAGTAATTGAAAAAGCCATGTATTCCCTTTCCTGCATGGTAGTCACCTCTAAAAGGAATGAGGGACTCTTGCCCCATATTTAATTCATATATAAGGACTGAAATTCCCACATATATCCTCTGAAGGAGGCAATGGAAAAATGCTGTGTGTGCACTTAACGGCTCTGGAGGGAGGGTAGAAGAGGTCTATTAAGCCAATGTGAATTGTCTTATACAAGCAAGGAGAGGAACTAGATTTGAACCTGTTAGATTCAGATTTAAACTAGATTGAACCTGTGTGTCAAAGAGAGACCAAGGCTTCTCAATCTGCCCAGACATGGGACAGAAGGGAGGAGGGAGGATGGAGCCTAAATGATAAGGGCATTAGACATCTGAAAGGTGGGTACACTTTCCTTTGCAACCTATGGACAGAAGTCATTTTCTTCAGAAACTTTTCTTGCAAGAAATTAGTGTGAAAAATAGATCCTGCCAAGCATGTGTTTGTTGTGCATGCATGTGGGTCCCAATTGACTTAAAAGAGGTACCTGCTTGCTTTGTCCCTTAAGCTTATGTCCAAGCCTCATTACCTGTACGTAACCAGGTGCTGCCTTCCATTGAGAGTGTGGACGGTTCCGACCCTGACCCTCTGGCAACTCTGCAGAACCCAATTGCTAGACTAGATGCAAAAGAGGAAGAGGATGAGGAAGAGGATGAGGATGAGGATTCAGAGGAAGAAGAGGAAGAGGATGCTGAAGACACTGATGTGGATGATTGGCAGCCTGACCCACCCCGGCCTTTTGACCCCCATGATTTGTGTAAGTGCAGGCCCTGGACTCTCCCAGGAAGATGTGTGTGAGTGTAAATATGTGCACAGCAATTGTCCATCCCATATACCAGCTCGGTATCTCTGTCTTCCCAGCAGCCTGGAAGGAAGTCATGACCATTGTTTCTGTTTTTTCCCTTTACCGATAAAGAATCTGAAACCCAGAGGTGGTTAGGTGCCTGTCTAGGGTCAAGTGAGTAGACAACCAGGCATCCACACCTGGGCTCTGAAATTGCTACACTGAGTCAGTCTCGGTTGGGTCTTTGCACTGTGTTGCTTGTTTCTTTCATGGAATCATTTTAGAATACTTACGTGTTCTCAGGCATTGGAACACAGATGCACTCCACAGCCTTTATAGGCTGGCCTCTTTCTCAATATCATAACTTTGAGTGCCTTGAAGATCTGGACTTTAGCTTTGGGTAGCTGGCCTCACCTAAACTGTCCTTCTGCCCTGCCTGCTCAGGCCTCTGTGTTTACCTACCAACTCATTGTTTATTTCTGTGGATTTTTGTGCCCACGTGGCAAAGACTGACCTCATTTACTTGAGTGACTAAGGCCTTTAGAGTTTGTGGCTTTGCAGTTGCCTCCTAGGTTCTCTGTGTTGGTAAAGCTTTCTTTGTGGGGCCAGTATACAGCCCCGTGTAACAAAGAACTTCATTTTGTTTTTCTTTGAATTTATAAATTTTCAAGGCAACCCTTTAATCAAATGCACTGAAACCTACTTTATCTTACAAATATTAATGCAAAGTTAGTCTCCATTACTTGAAAATTATAGAAATTGTGGATATCTAAACCAGGTCATCACATAGCTGCAAGGGGTGTGATGTGATGAGTATGAACTCTGTTTGGCCTGGTTCCTCTGGTTTGTGGCCCTGAGTATATCTTCTGAGCTCCTCTGGCAGAGGGAGTGAGCATACCTACCTGGCTTGAGGCAAATGGAGAATTCCAGCCTGAGCTGAGAATGTGTGTCCCTAGGGCTAAACTAATGGTGCTGTCTGAGTAATAAAGGAGGCATTTTGGCAATGCTCAATGTAGCATCCTCAGGCCTTGCAACCTGACAGGGACAGCACTGTTTTCTTTAGACTGTTATAGATTCTCAAACTCACTGGTAGGAAGTGGATTCGGGTTGATTCCCCAACAGCTTTGTTAAAATAATTTTGTCTCATCAGATTTCTCAACATTTAACTAGTAAGCTTTTCTTTTTTTTCTTCTTCTTATAATTGATTTGTAAATTGTGTCTACTGCTTGAGCCACTATCCAGCAGGGAGATAAGTCATGACTTGCATATTACCTTTAGCAGGTATAAGGGATTAGCATGATGTTAGGAGGAAATCTCAGCATTCTTGCTGGGCTATTGAAAGTACTGCCTTACCGTGAGATGACGGAACCCTTGTAGGGGGTTAACTGAAGTTTGGCCTGAAAATATTGGTTTGGGAATTTTTTTTTTTAAGGTCATCCCTTTATCGTTGAATCAAGAAGTTTTGAGGCATTTGACTTTTTCAATCTTTCTCTTGCAGGGTGTGAAGAGTGTAACAACGCACATTCTTCTGTGTGCCCAAAGCATGGCCCCTTGCATCCGATCCCTAACCGGCCTGTGCTCACTCGGGCAAGGGCAAGTCTGCCTCTGGTCCTCTACATAGACAGGTTCCTTGGGGGAGTGTTCTCCAAAAGACGGATTCCCAAGCGCACCCAGTTTGGCCCTGTAGAGGGGCCTCTGGTCAGGGGGTCGGAGCTGAAAGACTGCTACATTCATCTCAAGGTAATGGGTTTTCTCCCACTTCGCTTGTTCTGCTAAGACTTTCCAAGAGGCACTCATCTCTTTCCACTTCAAACCAGCTATTTGCTAGTAGTTTTTTTGGCATGCTCTAAGTTGCTTAGGAAGCTTGCTCTTTGCCCTCAATAAACCTAGAGATGATAGTGGCTGCTGCTTGAGGCCCTGTCATTTGGAGACAAGTAGTCCTGGGAGCTAGAAGTAGTATGCTGGGCCTTCATCCTAAACATCACAGGATGCTTGTGGGAACAAAGCACTGGCCATGCAAGCACAAGGACCAGAATTCAGATCCTCACCACCCATATGGTGGCTCCGAACATCTAGAATACTAGTCCTAGGTGATCCAGTGCCTTCTTCTGGCTTCTCTGGGTACCAGGCATTCACGTGGTGCACAGACATACATGCAGGCAAAACACTCACACACATGCAGTAAATAATAATAAAAAGCCTAGAAAGTATGGTGATCCACCTGTAATTCCAGTAATCTGGAGGTGGAGACGGGATCCTTGGAACAGGTTAGCTGAATTGAATTAACAAGCTCAGGACCCACTACCTTAAAATAAAATGAAGAGCTGTTGAGGAAGATACCCAATATCACCCTCTGGCTCACAATATCACCCAATATCACCACACATGTGCACACTGCACAAACCTGCTAGGTAGCTTAAATAATGGAAATGTACTTCTCAAAGCTCTGAGGACTGCCAGACAAAGATCAAGATGTTGGCAAGATTGGTTTCTGCAGTGTCTCTCCTTGGCTTTCAAATGCCTGCCACTTTGTGTCCTCACAGGTTCTACCCTGTGTTTGTCTTCATATTCCCTCTTATTGGATTACAGCCTTCCCTGACAGTGCTAGCCATGTTAACTTAATCACCTCTTTAAAGGTCTTGACATAAATGTGGTCATAGTCTGAGGAATCAGGGTTATAGGATTCCTGAATGAGTTTTTTTAGGGCTTGGGGTGGGGGGACATAAAATTAAACTCTTAACAGAACCCTTAGTATATGTTCTCATTTCATTCATTCATTCAGTTTTGAGGCAGGGTTTTTCTCTGTAGCCCTGGCTTTCCTGGAACTTCCTATGTAGACCAGACTGGCCTCAAATTCACTAGAGCTCTACCTACTTCTGCCTCCCAAGAGCTAGGATTAAAGGCACATACCACCATGCCCAACTGTATTTTCTATTCTAAACAAAATGATGGTAGAGGGCTGGAGATGTACTTATGTGGTCCAGTCTATCCTGTAATCCCAACATTCAAAATACAGAGACAGGAAGATCAGAAGTTCAAGGTCATACTTGGTTACACAGTGAGTTTGAGGCTAACCTGGGCTACAGGAGAGCCTAGCTGAAAAAAATTTCTACTTTAGAGCTGGGTGTGGTGGCACACACTTATAATCCCAGTAGTTGAGAGACTGAGGCAGGAGGATTGCGAATTCCAGGGTAGCCTGGGCTACGTTTCCAGACCCTATATCCCAAAGGAAGACTTTAACTAGGATACAGAGAATCCTGTGGCTATATGTACTCTGTGTGTGCTGAAATGGTTGCACTAAGACACTTTCAGTCTTGGAATGGGTCTAACCTGTGACATTCTTTGTGGTAAAGAATAGTTCACAGAAAATGGCAGTGGAGGGACACTGCTCAGTGGTTAACAGCACTTGCTGCTCTTTTAGAGGACCGGGGTTTTATTCCCAGCACCTACATGGCAGCTCCCAGTCATCTATAACTGCAGTTCCAGGGGAGTGTGTGCTCCTTCTGACCTCTGTGGGCTTCTACATGCATGCGGTGTCAAATACTCAGGCACACACATAAAACAAACTAAAAATATATTTAAAAGAAAAGCATAGTTCATCAGGGCCAGAGGGATGGCTCAGCAGTTAAGAAGGTGTATTGCTTTTCTAGAGGACTCCAGTTCAGTATATCTTCTCTTTGGTTACAGGTTTCTCTTGATAAAGGAGACAGAAAAGACAGGGATTTGCATGAAGACCTGTGGTTTGAGTTGTCTGATGAGACCCTTTGTAACTGGATGATGTTTGTGCGCCCAGCCCAGAACCACTTAGAACAGAACCTGGTAGCTTACCAATATGGCCACCATGTGTATTATACGACAATAAAGAACGTGGAGCCCAAGCAGGAACTGAAGGTACAGAACTGGATCCTCAGCAGCCTGCTAGCCAGAGTGGTGATAAGGGCTCTTTTCTATAGAAGGATCCTTTCCTGGTTATTCTTTTTTATTGGGTGACTTCAGCCTTCCTTTTTGCTTCCAGGATCCCTCTCCTCCACAATTACAAAAAAATCTGTGGATGTTCAAGCCTCTTATGAAAGTATATGTACAGAGCCCATGACTGTCCTCCCAGATGTCTCAGATAATTTCTAGACTATTTATAACATCTACTGCTAAATAAATGCTGCGTAAATAGTCATTATATTTAATGTATAGGGATAATGACAAGCAAAATCTTCACTTCAGTATGGATAGTGATTTTATTCATATATTTTCATTCTGTTGTTGTCGGAACCCTGAATCAGCAGGGCTAACTGTACTGTGCACTGAATACTTTCAATAATCCTGTCAATGAAACAGTATGAAAATAGGTTACTTTTGTGTTCTTCAAGGGCCTACAGCAAGGCATTGAATAACTGTGGTGGGGAGACTGGTAGTGGTGGTGGGGTGACTGAAGTTGCATGCCATTGTATGTACTAAGGAAGAATTGAGAAATGGGAGATTTTGTAAAATGGAATTCAGACGTATGTCTAAGATTCCTTTTCTTTATCTAAAAACTTTTTCAGCTGGGCGGTGGTGGTGCACGCCTTTAATTTCATTACTCAGGAGGCAGAGGCAGGTGAATCTCTGTGAGTTCGAGGCCAGTCTGGTCTATAAGAACTAGTTCCAGGACAGGCTCCAAAGCTACAGAGAAACCTGCCTTGAAAAACCATAAATAAATTAAAAAATAAATAAAAGAAAAATAAAAAAATAAAATAAAAACTTAACTTTTTCAAAGAATTTATGTGCTGGTTTCTGATTTCAGAAATAATTTTGGGGAATAATTGTTAGAACTTATTTATGAACTCAATGACATAATAAAAATTGTGCTACGATTCTATATGTAGATGAATATTGTTTTTTTTATTCTTTTCCACTGATGGGGATTGAATTTGTGTACTTGTGCGTGACAGGCAAGCGGTCACCCCCTCATCTACACTCCCAGCCTGTGAGGTCTCCCTGCACAACTCAGGCTGGCCTTAAACTAAGATTCTCCTAGTCTTAGTCTCCCTAGTACTGTTATTATAGGCATATTCCACTATGCTCAATTGACATAGAAGTTTTGTTTGTTTGCATTAGAGTCTTTAAAAATACTTTTATTAATTCTTTGATAATTCATACAGTGCACTTGGGCCATAGCCACTCCCGCTTCCTCCCATTAGCTCTTTTCAGCTCAGCCTGCATCTCCCTACCCCACAAAACAGTTAATAACTCATTGATTTCCATTTCTGCTAGGGCATGGGCATCCACTGGATTGTGGCCAGTCTACTAGAAATCACACCTTTAAGAAACAGGACCTTATGTAGCTCTGGTTGGCCTCTAACTTGCTATGTAGCTAAGAAATAACCTTGAATTTCTAGTCTCTTCCTTCCATCTCCCAACTTCTGGGATTACAGGTGCATACTACCAAGTGTAGCCTCTAACACATTTGTAATAAAGAAAAAGGCCTGAAAAGATGCTTCTCCCCCTCTTCTCTAGGTGATGGGTAAAGAACCACTGAGCTGCATCCCGAGTTCTGTTTTCTCTTTGGAAACAGCAAATAGAACTACAGGGGTGATGATGGACAGAACCAAATTAGAATTGTTAGGTATAATAAATAACCAAGGCCGGTGGATCTGGCTCAGTGGTAGAGTACTTGCCTAGCATAAGCAATACTCTGGATCTGATACCTAGCACTACAACAAAATAAAACAAGGCTGGGTGTGGTGGTGGATGCTTTTAATCTCAGCACTAGGAGGCAGAGTTCAGTGCTAGGCTGGTCTGCATAGCTAGTTATAGCCCAGCTAGGGCTACATGGGGAGACCCTGCCTCAAAGAAAAAAGAAAGAAAAGAAAAGAAAAGGAAGGAAAAGAAAAGGAAAGAAAGAAGGATCCCAATCAAGGAAACAATTGAATGGAGATTTTTGTAATGCAGTTTATATGTTTACATGTAAAAATTGGAAGAGTGTTTTTCACATTCAGCCTCACTAGATGCATACGGAGAAATGCAGGAAGAGACCCTATTTGGAAGAAACAAATAGTAAAGATCTGGTAAAATAAATCACAGTAATTTGAAAAGTGCTTAAAGGGCTCAAACTATAGCTTGGTGGAGAATGTTTGCCTACTGTGTGTAACATTCTAAGTTAGAATCCTCAGCATCACAGAAGATAAAATTTGAGTTACTATCTTTGTTACTTTAAATTAGCAGAAATAAATGGGTAAGGTATAATGAAGATGAAGGTTTTAAAACACAGACATCAAGCTGGACAGTGGTTACACACGTTTTTAATCCCAGCAATGGGAGGCAGAGACAGGTGGATCTCTGAGTTCCAGGCCAGCCTGGGTTTCAGAGTGAGTTTCAGGACAGCCAGAGCTACACAGAGAAACCCTGTTTCAAAAAACCAAAACCAATCAACCAACCAACCAAACAAACGAAAACCAGGGACTAGTAGAGACTAGTAGAGACTAGTAGAGAGAGGCACTTAGACACAGGCCTGGTGACCTGAGTTCAGTTCCTAGATCCACAAGGTGGCAATATAGAACCAGCTCCTGAGGGATTTTCTGACCTCTGTTGCACATATATCCCTCCCTGCACTTGAACACACACACACACACACACACACACACACACACACTAAAATAACCAAATAAAACAGACTTTGGTTATAGAGTTAGATTCCTTTGTAGAATATGAGTATTTGTGAGTCAGTACAAAAATATTCTTGTCCAAGTGAGACAAATCCTTCAGTTGATCTGAGGAAACAGTTACAAAAAAGATAAAACTAGATATATTAGAACACAATAATACTTTATTTCCCGACTCTAAGACATAACAGCTTTTAAGATGCTCCATTAAGAAAATTGTTGTCAATTTTTCTCTTATAGTTCCTTCATAAAATCAATAAAATGATTATTTCATCCTTATAAAAGAAACTACTTTATATTTGATTAAAATTCAATTAAAGATTATGCCCACCAATGCATGAATAATTGGGCTCATTTAGTCCCAAGTACTGCTCTTTTAAGACAGGGTCTTACTGTATCTGTCTGATGGACTGGGACTCACTGTGTAGCCCCTCCTGTCTTCAGCCTGCCTAGCTCTCTTGTCACGGCCTCCCAGTGCTGGGACTACAGGCTAGCCCACAGTGTTGGACATCCTGAAATATTTTCAAAGTAAGTATCACACTCTTGCTTCTGGAATATTTGCCCACACACTGCTGTCCTGTCTGCAAGGCTGGACATTGCATTTTCCCATTTGTTTGACTTTCTCCTGAATTGAATTGTGCATGAAAATTAATGAGGTCTCTGATCAAACCATCAGGAACTTCCTGACGATTCTGCTTGGTACCTTAGTGAGAGCCAGCAGATGCTCACCAACCTTGTGTTGCTTTTAAGTTTTTATTCCTGACTCCGTTCTTGGGGGAAATGACAGTTTTGGGGACTTTGCTTGCATGTCTTAGCAATTGTGTACAAGTCACTGAGCCCAGGAGGAGGCGAGGACAGCCTAAGGGATCAGGCTAGGCCTGTGCAGAAATGGGAAGCAGGTCACTAGCACTAGTTGCATCAAGGCTGTTGGGTGCCAGGATGTGAGATACTTTCTGATTCCTCTTCTAACAATAGCAAAGTGCCCAGGTGATCTTTTTTGTTTTGTTTTGTTTTTGGCTCCTCCCCCCCAACACACACACACACAGACAGGGTTTCTCTGCATTAGTCCTGGCACTCACTCTGTAGACTAGGCTGGCCTCAAACTCAGAGATCTGCCTGCCTCTGCCTCCCAAGTGCTGAGATTGAAGGTGTGCACCACCACTGCCTGACTTGTAATAGGAAAATGGCAGACTTCATAAAACTATAATGAGAGGGGCATAGTTAATTGTGAAACACACATTGTACAAAATATTGTTTTATAGAAGTTCTCCTTATATAAATACCCTCATATATTTAATGCACATAAAATTATGCACAATTAACTCATTTAGCCGTTAATACATATTGTGTGTTTCCTACATTTAAAAAAGCAGGCTTTCTCTGTGCTTATCAGACTTATATCTAGAGGGAGAGGTAAACAGAAAGGTGTAAAACAAACAGTATTAAATAGAGTAAGTGTTATGGTGCAAAGAGAGCAAGTAACAGGGCAAGGACCAATTTGGATTTGCTGGATTGGAAGACTGGCTAGGAGATGAAGACTGAGGATGGCGGAACAGGAGGGACCAACACTGCATTCCTGGAGTCAGGACAGCTCCAGGCTTTCAAGCACTGGGTTTGTTTGGGTAGGACCTCTTGGTCTGCCAGTAGGTAGTGACAAGGGCTGGTGTGTAGCAATGTAGCAAGGAGATTACAGTGTTCTTTGGAGATCATTATTATGCTTTTCAGGTTTATCATAAAACAAGAAGTCAAATGGAAACCCATACAACAAAATCCAATTGTATTTTTAAGAAGAGCATCGTGGTACTGGAAAGATGACTCAGGGGTTAAGAGTACATGCTGTTCTTATAGAAGGCCCAGGCTCAATTTCCAGCAACCACATGATGGTTCACAACTATCTGTAACTCCAGTTCCAGGGTCTTTGATAGTCTTTTCAGACAAAGCACACATGTGATATGCAGACAAAATAGAACAGAAGAAAGAAGAAGAGGAGGAAGAAGAAGAAAAAGAAAGATCACTATTTCAGAAATGGGAACTGCAAGGAAGAAGGGAAGGTAGTTAGAAGGTCAGGTGGTAATCTAGGCAAGAGATGATATTGGCATGAACCTAGTAGCTGAAACACTGCATAGATAGTGTGTCACATCTGAGGACAGTCCTTAATAAAGATACTGAAGCAAATGGAGAAATAAAAGAGGGGCTGGAGAGATGGCTCAGAGGTTAAGAGCTTTGCCTCCTCTTCCAAAGGTCCTGAGTTCAATTCCCAGCAACCACATGGTGGCTCACAACCATCTGTAATGAGGTGCCCTCTTCTGGCCTGCAGGCATACACATAGACAGTATATTGTATACATAATAAATAAATATTTAAAAAAAAAAGAAATAAAAGATACCTTAGGTTTTAAGTCTAAGTACCTGTTGGGAGGTACAACATTTAAAACCAGAGATGGTGAAGGCTGGCAGCAGTAGAACACTTTGCTAGTGCATACAAGGGATTGCATTCCCAGCACTACAGAAACAAAACAGCAAAAGTCATTCTTGCCTAAGTATTAGAGGTGAAGCTAAGTGTGGTAGTACAAACTTGGAATCATAGTTCCTCAGCAGGCTGAGGCAGCAGGATTACAAGTTGGAGGCCAGTCTGAGCAACATAGTGAAATCCTGTCTAAAAATAAAAATATAAAAAGGCTGGGGATGGGACTCAGCAGTAGACTCTTTGCAAAGCATGCACAAATTCCTGGGTTCAATCTTCAAATCCACATAAACGGCATATGGTATATAAGCCTATAATCCCAGCACTCAGGATCTAGGAATAGGAGGATCAGAGATTCAAGGCCATTCTCAACTACTTATTGAGTGTGAGGCCAGCCTGGGGGCAGGGAACATGAGGCTCTGGGGGGGGGGGGGAATAAAAAATAAATAAATAAAAAATAAAAAAATTAGAGATATTTAGGAGTTGTTAACATGGAGTTATTTGAAAATGGGTATGACACCAGGGGAAACTAAGAGGACTCAGGGTTTAGGCTAAGCTTTGAGGGGCAGCAGTATGTAGAGGGACAGGGCTGGAGGAAGGTGACAGCCAGGGAGAATGAACAGAAACAGAAGCTAAGAGGACAGAAAGGAAGACCAGCCCGAGAAGAACACAGGAGCTTTTGATATAGCCCCACCTGCTGTTCCAGCGTTGAGCTGAGTGACAGTGTCTATGATTACAGTTGTATAAAAAGCCATATTTAAACGTAGAATTTTAAAAGGATGTTTTATTTAGGTAAAGGTACTAAGCCTTGTGAAATTTTTAAATAACAAAAACATTTTTTAAGAAGGAAGAAGAAAACAGGCAATGCATCCGGATCCTAGATGTCCTGATGGGTCCATCTGCCCGCTAGGTATCATGGGGGCCCAATGTGGCTGCTGTTGTTAACGGGTGTGTTAGTGAAATACCCATATATGCAGGCAGGAGACGTCATTTAAGCATGCAAAGCACAGCTGGTGACATCTGTTGGGTCTTGATGGTGTCCTTGGTTCTTACAGGTGTGGTATGCTGCATCCTATGCTGAGTTCGTGAACCAGAAAATCCATGACATATCTGAAGAAGAAAGGAAAGGTGCCTGGCCTTTTGCGTGTGCCTTTTTACATGAATATAATACTGTTATGTAGCATCTGGTTTTCCCATCTCAGTGTATCTCCCAAGAGTAGGTTTCTCAGAGTTACACATCTCCATTTAATCCTAGGATCAAATTACAATGACAGTTTTGCATTTCTTCCCTGGATACTAGAAAATAGTATTTAATATAATGAAATCCTCCCGTTACCATTGAGAACCTTAGAGTCAGAGGAAGATTCCCATCTGAAATTAATCATATCTGAACACATAGCAAGGTAAGAACTGACCTTGTTTTTATTGTAAATGTGATAATGTAAAGTATAATACACCTACAGAAAGGTACACGAATAATGAAGTGTATCCCACTTGGTTAATTTTCACAGTGTGTGAAAAATCCCCACACGTCCTGTCCTGATTTCCAATATCCCACACTAACTGCTTATTAGTGTATTGTTCATAAACAATGTTGTGCTACATGCTCATTTTTTTTTTATTGTGTTTGGGCATCTTTTGCCTGAACATACTCTTTTCTTTGTTTCTGGAGCTGGGAACTGAACCTAAGGCCTTGGACTTGCTCAGTAAGTGTTCTACCACTGAGCCAAACCCCTAACCTCTAGGTGAACATAGTTTAAAAATACATCCACATTGTTATCTAGATTGTTAATTTTGTATTATCAATGCTGTTAGTCTCTCTACTTTTGACCATGTAACAGTTTGTCTACCTTGTTATAGATTTAGTTTTATGGTGGTAAGTACTCAGAATTAGGTCACATTTCATAGGTGAAAGGGTTAAAGGCATAGTCTTTCATAAGACTCACTTCAGACACCAGCTCCAGGGTTCTGTGGTTCCCAATACTACACTCATACTTCTATCCACAATTTAACGGACTTCGATACCCTTGTAGGCTTCATTATTTATTAGAATGAATCATGGGACCCGGGAAAGTACTAAAGTCAATGATTAGAGTTTTATAATAAAGGATATACACCAGGATCAGCCAAATAAAGAGACATACAGAGTCTGAGAATGAAGTATTTGTGTCCCCAAGACATAAGCCCTCCTGGGGTAGTGATGTGTTGTGACCGACCATAAAGGCTCAGTGTTGTCCAGAGGTTTTAGTATATAGGCATGACTCAAGGAATGGTCGCCCATGTGACTGAACTCGGTCTCTAGCTTCCCTTCCTTGACTTGTCGAAGACTAGCACCAGCAAGCTCAAAGCACTGAAATTCTAATCACAGGGTCCTTTTTTCTAGCCAGATCAGCTCCCACCTTGAGCCATCTCAGGGTAAAGTCAGGTAGTAATAATGAAAACAAAGAAAGCCCTATCATTCAGGAAATTCCAGTGACTTAGAGGTTACCTCCAAAGGGCCAGGCATAAGGGCGATCAGATTTTTTTTTCATTATACAACTGTTGACAGTTTGTGACGTCTTGAGTGCAACTGTATTTACTCTTGTGTGTGTGTGTGTGTGTGTGTGTTTTAGGGGTGTCTGTGCACACTCTGGTTGGCTGTCTAGCTAGGAAAGGGATTGCTACTGGGTCATGGGGTGTGCACATAATTCAGGCTTGGAAGGTAGGGTTGGACATTTGCTAGATTGTATTAGACATTTGTTATGATAAGTTTGTTGTGATAAGGCATTCCCATAATTCTGAGACTTAGATCTGAAACAGGAAGTTATCTAAGCACAGATCTCCTTTATAGATTTTTTTTTATGTGTCGAGGGTGGTGTGATGTGTGAATCCTTTGATGTTTTGCATGAAGGTTGTAGAGAATAAGACCCTACATACCACTTTTCTGCTGAACTTCAGCCTCTGATTTGGTAACAAGAAATTAATTCAAATAGCAGTTGCTGTCTACAGTGAAATAAGATGGTGGAGACAGCAGGAGCTGTGTCTTCCTGGTGTCTATTGATCGTAGCCATAAATTATGATTTCTCTCTCATGGCTGTAGTCCTTCGAGAGCAAGAGAAGAATTGGCCCTGCTATGAGTGCAATCGCCGGTTCGTCAGCTCAGAGCAGCTGCAGCAGCACCTCAATTCTCATGATGAGAAACTAGATGTGTTTACCAGGTAGGTGTATGAGGCAAAGACTCGCAGACTTGGTTCTTAATGGTTCTCAATCATTGGTGGATGTGTAAAAATGTGTGTATGTGTGCACACATGCATGGGGGGGCATGTGTGTGTGTGTACATACACAATCCATGTATGTACGGATAACCAGGTAGGCTGCTGAATACCTTGGGAAATACCTTCTTTATTTGCTATTTTTTTTATAGTTTATTTTTATTTATTTATTTATTTATTATGTATACAATATTCTGTCTGTGTGTATGTCTGCAGGCCAGAAGAGGGCACCAGACCTCCTTACAGATGGTTGTGAGCCACCATGTGGTTGCTGGGAATTGAACTCAGCACCTTTGGAGGAGCAGGCAATTTTCTTAACCACTGAGCCATCTCTCCAGCCCTTGCTATTTTTTTTTTTAAAATAGCCCATACCTGCATTCGGAGATTCTGTTACCCTAGTTAAATCTCTTTTAACTAGATTCTGAACTGGGAATGTTTAAGTGTTTATTATTTTTATTTTATATCTATTTGGTGGCTTGCCTGAATGCTTGTCTGTGCGCCATATGTGTGCTCTGGCAGAGACCAGAAAAGGGTGTCAGAGACGAGAAAAGGGCGTCAGATCCCTGGAACTGGTTTATAGACCTTCATTGGCAGTCATGTGGGTCCTAGGGATTGAATCCAGGTGCTCTGGAAGAACAGTGTTCTCAAGAGCAGTCAGTAAGCCAGCCCCCTGAATTGGGAATTCTTAAGGCAGCATATACATTTGAAGTAATATACATCCCTGATTTTCACACTTTTCCCAGTACTATGATTTTTCACAAGAATAAATTATATGCTTAATTAAACTGTTTAGAAAAGAGACAGGGGAGAATCATGTAAGATAAAGTAGGCAAGAGCCAGATCAGATGGTACAAAATTTAACTTAATAAACAGTATGATGGAAGGCCTTCAGGGTACATTGAGGACCTCAGTCTAGCTAATACAGGGAGTCTCGTGATACTTATGTAGAGAAGGGTGGTAGTAATAGGACAGGTCTACTTTTACAGGGTTTGGAAAGAGGCACTGACATAAAACCAGATTTAGAAAAATGGGAAAAAAGATGCCTTGGGAGGAACCATGTAGTTGTCTGCAACACTGAGTACCCATCTTGGGTTTATGGTCACAAAATAGGAAAGAGACCACAGCAAACGTGCGTGCTATTTTCCAGCTACGACAGTACCAGTAGAGAGAGGGCCGGGAGCTGACACAGGCTTGTGGTTTCCTTACACACATCAACACGGGGAACATAAGCACAATAGGGGTGGGGAAGCAAAAGCAAACAGTGATAGTGATAGCTCTGGGAGTGTGTGCTGTGGAAGAAGAGAGGACAGGGCTGAAGTGGATACCAAAGATGGTGATCTGGGCAGCGAGAAGATAATTTCAGGTGGGCAATGCTTGGAGTTGGGATAATGGAACTTTATACTAAGAATGACAAGGGCAAGGCTATGACCACAGGAGTGAGTGTCTTGGGAGGGGACAACACAATGAGATTCAAGTCACTCAGGTTTGAGTATCCCTAAAAGTGTGTCCATGGCTTCACTGTAACATTTTATACCACACTCTGACTTTTGGTTTGCACGCCTACAGTCTGCTAGATCTCGAGGGCAGCAGCTGTCACACGTATTGTGTTGTCTTTGGTGCTTTGCATAGTGTATGACACATAGACAAAATGTTTACTAACTACCTGCTAAAATAAATTTATCACGACCAGGAAAGTTCCAGTTTTGGATATATTCTACTAACAATGAGCAACTATCAAATTTTTATGTGTAATAATGGCATCATGCTTTTATGTGCATGTATACATATGTAGAATTGTTAGGATTTGGAGATGCTTCCAGAGGTATTTACAGATAAAAGGATGCCTGAAATTTAATGGGTATATTTGTAGGGAAGTAATGGGGATATAGATGGCATAAGATTGCTCATAAACCTTAAAACTGAGTATGAATATATTGGCTCATTCTTCTTTTCTCTCCATTTACCTATATCTAGAATTTTCCATAATAAAGAATCTTTTAAAAGTTCCTGGAGTCCAGGTGAGGTATTGGGTGCCTGTAGTGACAAGTCAGTTGGAGACAGAGGCAGATCCCTTCAGCTCAGGAGTTTTGGGCCAGCCTAGGCTACGTAGTAAGACTCCATCTTAGAAAAAAGCAAATAAGAAAAAAGAATCCTGGAAAATATATATTTGTTTAATAGCTGCATGGAAGAGTGAAACATGATCTTATTAATATTATATGAATCTCACCACACTGTGTTAGCTCTTTATTGCTATGACAAAATAAATGAGAAAAATAATTCAAGGGGGAGAGGATTGTTTTGTTTGTAGTTTCAGTTTTCTGTGGTGGAAAGGGCACAAGAGAGCAGAGCTGTTCACCTCACAGTGCCAAACAGCCGTGAGAGAATGCCTGTCCTAGTGACTTTCTTTTCAGAACATTGAGACCCCCAGTGTGGGGGATGGTGCTTTCTGCATTTAGCGCAGCTCTCTCCTACTTAGTAAACCCTCTCTGGAAACAGTCACACATACAACAAAGGTGTGCTTTGTGTCCTACATGCTTTTCAGTCTAGTCAGGTTGACAGTCGGGGTGAGCCAACACACATATCTTCCAAAATAAGTTTATAATACTCTTTTTGATTCCACTTGCCCCACTCCTTGCCTCAACCAGGGCCTCACACATGTTGAGCAAGCGCTCTGCTGCTGGCTACAATCCAATCTCTCTCTCTCTCTCTCTCTCTCTCTCTCTCTCTCTCTCTTTCCCTTCCTTCCCTCCCCTTTCCTTCCCTCCCCTCCCCTTCTTCCTCCTCTCATTGTTTTGAGATACAGTTTGATATGATCCAGGCTGGCTTTGAACATATGTGACTGGGGGTGATCTTGAATTTCTGATCCTCCTGCTTCCACTTCTTGAGTGTTGAAATTACAAGTGTGCATCCATATCTGGCATACGCAGTCCTAGGTGTGCTAGACAAGCAGTCTACAACTAAACTCCATCCCCAGCCTAGGAGGCTCATCTGATAGGGACCCTTTGCCTATTGGGACTCAGTTACAGGGGACTTTTTTCCTTTGTTTTTCGAGACAGGGTGACAGGGTTCCTTTGTGTAGCCCTGATTGTTCTGAAACTGGGCCTGTAGACCAGGCTGGCCTCAAACTCACAGAGATCCACCTGCCTCTGCCTCCTGAATTCTAGGATTAAAAGTATGCACCATCACTGCCCGGCTAGGGGACTTTTTAAATTTGTTGTTGGCTTGTTCAAGAACAGTTGAATTAGGAATTGGTGTTTTGACTATCTAGAAAGCTGTGGAAAACAGGGCTGTTATTTGAATTTAGCTACATTTCTAGGAAGGAATAGGAGCCGAGGCAAAGAAGAAAGAGAAGAAAGGACTGAATCCTGGGAGCAAGCTGTAGGGCAAGCATGTCCTGTCCTGTTTGCGTCTCTCACCTCCTTTCAAAAGCAAAATGTTGTCAGTTTTTTTCAGCCCTTATTTTCTCCCAAATTTTTAAGACATCTCTGGTCTGTAGAGAAAAGATGAGAAATGTCAGGAGCACACATAAGCAAAACAGTGGTTTCTATTAGAAAAAAGAACCAGGGGAAGTGATACAGTAGAAGAACTAAGACCAACCTAGGGAGTGATGCTGTGGGGTGCCATGTGGTGCTGATGTAACCCAATCTCCTGTCCCCAGAACAAGAGGTAGAGGACGGGGTCGAGGCAAGAGGAGATTTGGCCCAGGTCGGCGGCCCGGGCGTCCTCCAAAATTTATCCGCTTGGAAATCACCAGTGAAAATGGGGAAAAGAGTGACGACGGGACACAGGTACGGGGGTCCGAGGAGCTCCTCCATAGACGCTTGCTTGGGGAGTCCTCACTGTGCCTAGATTGAAATACCTTCCTGTGTTTACAATCCTGTCTTAGAGTGCTGTCCTGTTAACTAAAGTAGGATTGGAACAGTGGAATTGTTGTTGTTGTTGTTGTGGGTTTTTTGTTTGTTTGTTTGTTTTGAAACAGGGTTTCTCTGTGTAGCCATGGCTGTCCTGGAACTTGCTTTGTAGATCAGGCTGTCCTCAAGCCCACAGAGATCTGCCTGCCTCTGCTTCCTGAGTGTTGGGATTAAAGGCATGGGCTACTACTGCCTGGTCCAAAAACCATATTTTCAACTGTTGCTTATAATACAGATTTAACTTTGCTGTCCTAAAGATTTGGAATTGACTGGAGGTGTTCTGGGAGGGCTTTGGGTACTTAACCTGTTGGAGTAACTGATATTCCAGAAAGAGAGTTTCCTTGTTCTGGAACCACAGATGTCTTACGCTTTGCATTCTGCACTTACTTATCTAGATAGTCAAAACAAATTATCTCAGAGGGAGAGTATTATTTTCTGCATAATAATGCTAATCAATTTTTAAAAAGTTGTAGCTGGGCTAGGCGGCATATTCTGTAGTCCTAGCTGCTCAGGAAGCTGAAGCAGGAGGACTGTTTCAGCCTAGGAGGTTTTGACCAGCCTAGAAATGTAGCAAGACCCTATCTCTTAAGTAAATAAATAGTAATGATTTTGAATTTGAGCCAATAGTCCCTGTATTACTGATCTTTATGTAGATAGGGAGGTAATTCCTGGTGTTTGCAAAATTCAGGACTTGCTGCATTTCCCCACAAAGGAGCAGTTTGATGAGGCTGAACCAGCTACCCTGAACGGACTGGATCAACCAGAACCAGCGTCCATCCCAATCCCCCAGCTGCCACAGGAAACCCCATCTTCTCTGGAGCAGGAACCAGAAACACACACCTTGCACCTGCAGCCACAGCAAGAAGAGACTGTACTGCCTGCCCAGACCACTTTGACAGCGGATGACATGCGCAGGGCCAAACGCATCCGAGTAAGTGGGCAAGTACGCAGTCTTTGGCTGGCAGGTTACCCTCCTCCTCTTGCCAGCTCTCTCAAGACCTTTGTTGACCATTCACTTCAAAATCTTGCATCTAGCCTTCTAAATGCCATTTATATTGCCTTATTTTGCAAAAGTGCTTTTCTCAGTGTTTCTGTTCATGGCAAGCTGACATGACTGTCCTAGAGTCAGCATAGCTATGACACACAGAGGCCTGCATTTGGGCAGCTCATAGACTAGTATATGTAAAATAGGAGAGATCCCTATATTTCTGAATTCAAAATTTCAAAATAGGTACTTAAGTATATTTAACTACCATAATTATTTTTATTTTACTTAATTTCCTTCCTTCCTCCCTCCCTTCCTTCCTTCCTTCCTTCCTTCCTTCCTTCCTTCCTTCCTTCCT